TGCGAGAATTAAGTCATTTTTTCTGTCTAAATTATTTTTACATTTGAATGTATGTTGACTTTATTTTTAACTTGTACATATTTTAATTCCCATATTTGTGTTAATCTAAAGGTGTTTCTTGCAAATGTTACATGTTTATAAGTTCGGAATATAAGTGTTTACATACTTAATAACGTCACGACAAATGCTTGTAGCAATTTTTATAAATGAGTGGTACAGTCTAAGTAAGACTCGTGAACTCGTGAACACAGTACATGGGATCATCCAAAAGTACCTGTGCACACACACGCCCTCGATCGCGAACATTTGATATGTGTGTATCGAGTACAGGGACTGTTAAATCACTTCGAACACTTGGCGCTATCACAGGTGCACAGGGACTTCTCTATTACCCTGCAGGAACTTTTTAAGATAAGGCTGGAACACTTTTATTCTACATATCTCGAGTACTTTAAAAACAAATCAGTTGTTGCTGGGACGGAAAATATTTTTTGTTCATGCCTTGGTCAATATTTATCTTATCGACATACGTTTTATATTAACGTATTAGAGATCAGTGAGATTTTACATTCAGTTTAATATATAAATATTTTGTTTGATTAGCCGCTTCTGAAGAAGTTCGGTAGAGCTTGATTCCAATAACAAATTAGTTCCTCTCTGTAACTTTTATGTTAGATCCCAGTACCTGAGTAAAGTGCAGTCTGCTGTACTTTCTCAAAACATAAGAACAGTCGAAGGGACACAGTCTCACGTAATGTGTTCAGTCTGTCGACTTGGAAACACAAAAATGGCCCCATTATTTAAAATAAAACGGTGATCCAAGCCGGTTATGCAGGTGTTCTCTTGTTCAACAGAAGCGCTGTGTGCCTGTCTTATTAGAAATTCTGTAACGTGTTGGCCCTGAGCGAACAGGAGGAAGTGCACTGCGTAGTTATTGAAAGGCGAAGTTTGGAAACGCAGCGTCGAATTTATTCACCTGTAAGAAACAGGAACTGGATGGCCTTGTTGGATGGGAGTTGGACCAAGTTGGCTGCTGTTAGGTCACTCTTGCTGGATTAGAATCCAATAGGATCTGACGGTGATTATGAAATGTAGAAACCGATAAAACTAAACAAAGATTGAGGAAGTAGTGCCGATAAAATGATAGATTTTCACGGCAGTTATATCGTAACAGGTGATCAACTCCGTTGGAATAACATGTACGTTTCGGAGACTCTGCCTCCATCATCAGTGACTGATACGATGAGTGACTTGGGTCGATATGTATATTCAGGAAATCGAAAGTTCATTACCCTGTTCATGAATGCCTGCCGCTGTAACATATCCCGATCCTTTTGAATTCGGCCCATACCTTCACATCTGTTTCCTGTAAGATCCATTTTAATATTATGCTCTCATCTATGCCTAGATACTCGAAGCTGTCTCTTCCCCGTAGGTCTCGAGACGTAATGTATATTTCTTATGGCCTTATGCGTGCTACATATCCTGCCATCTTCGAACTCACCGCCTTGAAAACCTCCAATCCTATTTCCTCCATCTTGCCCTCTTGCGCCCAGATATTATTCTCATCACTTTGTTCTCAGACACTCCCAGTTCATGTTCTTCTCTTGTGATAAACCAAGTTTTACACTCATTCTAAGAAAAGTTAATTGTACCTTTTGTGTATTTTAATCTTCGTACGATATACTGCAGGCAGGAGAGTAAACCATTTTGAACTGAATTTAACGTGCCCTTATTTTTTCCGTGGATGTAATTTTTATTTATTGCTTCATCTTCAATTATCTGAACATCACAAACACGTTTCCGAAGTATTTTTGGCTGTGTTTGTGTAATGATTTTTCGGTTTCGGGGTGTGGATTGGACTCATCTGACTCTGGGTAGGGACCTTTGGAGAGCTCTTGTGAACACAGTTATGGACCTTCCGATTCCGTAAAATGCGGGGAATCTTACTAGCTGAATGTACTGTTAGCGTTTCAAGAATGATTCTGCTCCATGGCATTACTTTTAGTTAATTATTTTAGAGCATATATTTAGCTTCCTGTGCCTTTATTTCTAAGCCGAGATGACCATCGTGTAACACAGCTGTTTTTTTTGTGTGGGATGTATTAAAGTTTTCCCCGAATAAATTTATGCCATTAGCATAGGCAAGAAAGAATAAACATTTAGAAGTTGTAAATTTAAAATCATCACACAGTAACATTGAATTTAAATAACATTGACATTGTTTTGGACAGTATGGGATTTATTAATTTCTACACGCTAATTTTCCCTTACCTTGACGTGTTCATTATCATGCAACTAAGAAACGTACTAAGGAGGCAAACACATAATGTGATAATTAAAAGTTCTGTAGACGAAATAACCCTACTTATTATGTGTTGTTTGTGCAATAAAATTATTAATAGTGTTCGTGTAATGATGGCGTAGCAGGCTTTAATCACATCTGCAGGCTCCGACATCCTTAGCAGTAGCAATGAATAAGTCTTATCTCGAGTTCATTTGACGTCAGTCGACTTTAAACTCCATGGTAGTTGTAGTCGTCGTCATCTGATGTGACGTGTCGTTACCGCCCCTTGGTGTCTCATTCAAGATACGTTTCGCTGTCACCACATGTACAACGTGCAGATCACATCAGTGCGAAGAAGAATCATGGGTGTCGCCGAGTGATGTTAACTTTTTCATGTGTGACGAACATTCTTGTAGATGTGTGAGTAGTAGAAAATATAGTCCGTGACTGTTCGTTCGATCACTTTCGATTTGAGCGATATGGTTCCTTAAAAGGCGGGGAATTTTATAATCAGCTGAACGACCATTTTCTTCTCAAGAAGCGCTCTCCTTCATTAGTGTAAACCTCGAATACTGAAATCTATCAGGTTACATTCAGTTGTTTCTGGGCTAAAATAGGTGGATAGACATGACAGTCGACAGTCATTCGATTACATTTCACACACGCGCGTTCCTTTTGGATGCGCTTCAGCGTTATCCTACATCTACAGTACACCATGTCTCCCCAACTGTATCATCTCATTTTCTCAATTCGTCTTACATGTCCTGCCTGTCTCATTTTTTTGTGATTTAACCGCACTAATAATAATAATTTAATTCAATTCTTTATTATTAGTGTGCTGTATCAACAGCCAGAAGGCCAATTACAGATACAGCAAAAGAGATGAGCACACGAACATTGTAATAAATTTAGAAAGGTAACAAAAAACAGGATATAGGAATGCATTAGTACAGAGGACGCTAATACCCAAAGAAAATTACTACTAAATGCATTAGTATATTTGTGATAATAATTTAAATAAATGAAGGAAATAAGACTATTGTAGAATGTGTTGAAGTGTAACAATTTTCGTTTCGAATATGTCCAAGTCCCTGCAGACGACATTAGCAGCTGATGCGTATCTAGCAGAAGGACTGTTTTAATCGAAGGGCTGAAACTGAACATAGAAAAATCTCTCCGATTCCGAGCGGGGATGCGGAGACCGACAGCTTCCAGAAGGGAAGGACAGCATTTAAAACCGCGGTAAACCTGCGCAAGGAACAGTGCATCACTAGAATTATAATAATTCAATTCTGTATTATTAGTGTGCTGCGTCAACAGCCAGATGACCAATAATAATAATAAAACTATATAATACATGTAATACATATTAAAAACAAAATGTATTTCGGAAATAGCTGCTGCATTATGTACCTCAGGGGCAAGGTTTGTCTCGGGTACATAGAAGTAAATACGCTATAAAGTGGTGAATAGATGGGATAATAATAATAGGTGCAGAAAACAAATGACGAAGTTTCTCATTGTGTAATTTTCTCCATTGATCTGTTACTGTCATTATCTTAGGTCCAGATACTTTCCTCAGGACTGTTCTGAAACACCGACAATCTGTGTCCTTTTACAGTGAGAGACCGAGTTCCAAATTCATACAAAACAACGGTTAAAATCTTTTAATTTTTTAAACTAGATGCAGGAAGATGCAGGATCTTGAGCTGTTGGTATCAATCATTCATTCTCGGTGTTTAATCTCTTAATTTATTTATGAATGTAATTTTGGTTTGTTACTGTCGTTTTTGTCCTGCTTTCTCATAACGTGTTTTGAAATATATACTATCTTCTCTTTTGCTTTTACAACATCCCTTTTACTAGCTTCTGTTACAGTTTGTATTTTCTTAATGGTGTTTACGTTTTCTTATATCAAATTTATTGCTGCTATTAAAGTGTTTGCCTCTGCATTTAGTTTGTGCATGGTTTCTTTCTTTTAAAGCCATAATGAGTTTTTTTTTATTTCCAAGGCATGAACAGATGCAGACTACGTATGAAAGAGTGGATATCATTTTAATTGCTTGTTGCATCGACAGCCTCCCAAGTTACACCGAGAAATGTGTTGAAAAACCAAAAATGTGTTTATTTGGCTTTCAGCTATTCTTGCCGATGTAAATGCGTTGCGTGGGAATGAAATGTAGGGGAGCTGCATTACCGATCACAAATACAGAAAGCTGTTTACTGCTTCAACGACTCTTAGGACACATTGTTTAGTGAGGCCACGTGATTGCTAATCTGCTTGTTGTTTCTTCTCCAGTATTTACGTACATTAAGAGTCGTGATCATGCGTTAATCCATGCTTATTAGAAAATTATCAGCCACATATCATCACCATAAATATTAAATGTTATATTACGACATGTTATGTTATTTGGCGTAATGTATTTTCTCTGGAAATATGTTATTCACGATGATAATTGTTATGGTTTGCAGCTTAACACAACTGGCAGTCGTTATTTAATGGCACGAAACCATTTTTATTAATTTTCCACAAGACGGATTCTAAATTTTCCTGCCGTATATGACGTCATGCTTTACGGAGAAACCTCAGAACACACTCTTGAGATTTGAGGTTCTCACGGCAGCGAGTACGAAGATGGCTGTCTTCGGGGTTGTAGCGCCGGGTAGTCTGGTAGAAGTTTACCGACGTTACAGAGATGATTGCTGCTTCAATCATCAGGGCGATCGCTAGACCCCAGACTACTACGGCGCAAAAATCCAGAGGAAAGTCATCTTAGTGTAAATGGTGTCTATGTTTTACATGGCACTTTATGTTTCCAGCTAATGTGTAATAATTAGTATCATCAACTAAATTAAATTGTCATTTTATAAATGTAAAAAGAGTTAACCTAAATAGTTTGTTAAACATCAGAAATGTTGGCCCTGTGTAATATTTAAGTGCCCTCACATTGCTGGAGAGAATTTCGAGCACTTCCTTGTTTATTGAAAAAGCCATATCTCAAGAAGTTCTGTTCTGCCCCTCTAAGCCTTAACGTCTGTCGTGAACGATGATTTCAGCTAGTAGGGCCTATATCGCACACCCTTTCACATTAACTGCCTAAATATTTCTAATGTAAATCCTTACATTGTTTAATTTCAGGTTAAAGCTTTGCAGTTAGCTTGTGATGACTGTATTGCGCAGTACTGCAAGTGATTTAATTACGCCCAGGAAGTACATAATTAAAGAAGGCATCCGAGCAGTCGTATCATATTTATGTACAGATGCTAATCCTGTCAAACCTGAAATAATTATAATCAGTCTGACGGTGGAAATGTCGTGGCGTTTTTAAATGACTTCTTCATTACGGCAATTATAAGCAAACATTTGTTGTGTCTCGGTATATTCATGTGAATGTTCCAAATGAGGGACTTCAGTCGTTAGAAGAGTAAATGTAACTAATTAACTTCATAGAGCGGTCCTGGGTTCAATCCTGACCGTTGTAACTAATAGTAATAGTATTATTAATAATAAAAGAGTTAGTACCAGGACAACCAATCACATGAAGACTGGAGTACAGTCAACTCCAGAACAGTCTTCCTTGAGAGCCTTTTAGTCGCTCAGGTAGTCAAAAAATTCCCGGACATTTATTGAACCAGATGGTTATTACCCTGTTAACAAGAACCCGCCGTTTTATTCCGGTAGATTCGTTTAGTATAAAGAATTTCCACCTCGTCCGTCACCAGAAGAGGTTTTCAACCCCTGTTCCAGACTGTCTCATTTTTAGAATCGATATGTCTACCCTTCAGTACTTATGGACTGTAAACAAGGTTTTGCAGCAGTTGTATGAAAATTTAGTACATATTTAAACGAAGCACATTCGGTTGACAGCTTTACGATCCGATGTTCTTCTGTCTTTATGAAACAGCACGACTTCATCAACGTGATGGTTTGCCGTAATCTAAGCGAGTCCAAGTTTAGACGGCACGGCCTCTAGTTTATGCCCACAATTAGTACGCGAAAAAGCTCTTACGCGGCTCCGATACAAGTACGTCATGATGAGAGTGACGAATGAAATGGGGAGTGGAAGATGAAACTTAACGAGGAGATACGCTCGCGTATATTTAACCCTTTAAAGCCGAGTGGTAACTGTATGTGTCATCCTCTTATTCAGTCAGTAATGCTGAATTCTATATGTCTGCTTCTCAGTGTAAAAAGGGATTATTTCTTTAAACAGCTTCAAGAAATTGATTTTTGTAGTGGTGACGTGTGGTACTTTCTTTGCGGGCCGCGGGTCCATTGTACGGCCGACATCAAAGTTTCCTACGTGACTGAAAATCTGACATTTTCTTTAATTTCTTCACTCATGGAAACCTGAATAGGGTTTATATTTTTGAGAGAATTTAAGAAATTGTGAAGTCAACTCTAGTTCTCTAGTACTCTAGAACTATCTCTGTAGGATCCATCTTCCGTTCTCCTCGGTCTTCCAAGAGCCTGCTTTCTCAATATTTCCAAAAAAATTCTGAGTGAACTTATTGTCTCCTCATTCGATCGACATGCCCAATCCATTAATAACCTCTTTGATTTCACAGTTCTAATATGACCTGCAGATAAAGTCTTGTTGACGAAGTTCATCGGTATTTACGTGTGTAACTCCAATTACTTGTTTACTTTAGGCTGCGGTCACATTGGATGCACATTTGTGCGATCTGATCGAAAGAATTCGTGCGGTTGTGAACATTAAAACAAATGTACGAAACATAATGAGAATGAAGGCATTGCTTGTGGCTACTTCTGACGATCCCCTACGAATTCGTACGACCAAGTGCTCGTAGGTCTATTTTTAAGACCGATTTTTCGTCAGATTTGCTACGATCGTCTATTTGAAGTAAGGATTCCTGTCGTTTACGTAAACGTGTGTTGCAAAGATGGAGCCTTTGGGATCTAAAGGACAAATATTAACACAACCGTGATCTCAAACAAGACATTTTTTAAAAAAATATTGCTGTTTAGGCATAAATTATGAGCGGTTGCGAGCGTATAATAATTTACCCCCAGAATATAACTGAAGTCCCGTGATCATTCGGAATTATTCGAAAAATTGTGGTTATTGCAAGAGATCCGGAAGAAGTCGTTTGCATTCACTCTTCGTCGCTCTCTCCATGAATTATTCATTAGCCCAGAGGGAGGAGCGATAATTTAATAGCACTGTTTTCCAGAAGGAAGAAATACCACTCATCCATGACTGTTAGTTCACTGTTAGCGTGAAACTAATAGCATGCAGAAGTATTCAACGTGAACACCCTGGTCGTTCGGACAATTCATAGAAGCAACAACCGGATGTTTCCTGCGGCTAGTAGTGGCATGAATTCGCGTCCAATGGGATCGCAGCCTTATCCGTCTGTCTTCATCCAAATAATCGCTTCTGCATTTGGTTTTCAAATGCCATCCTTCTGTCAGTAAGTTGCCAGTTGTTTTGTACTGTTGTTAAACGTTTTCTTGTTTCGGAATAAGAAAACATTTTCACAACCGTGTAAAATAACTGGTAACTTATTTTATATTCGTTGATATTTACATTATAGCGAATAAACAAGTTGTTTACAGTTTTAGATTAGAGAAACAACAGCAGTGAGCTCGACACTTTATAAGATAAAGTGTACGGGAGAAAAGCCATTTTTATAACATTCTTAAAAAATAACTTTATGAATAAACGCGTTTTTGCTTTCTAATTGATGGCAAAGAGAGCTTTTATTATTACTGTGCTGAAATGTAAGAATACGGTGGTCTGTTTTCAATACATAATCTCTTTCCGGGTGAGACACTTCGTTTATTGAGTATGCCTAAATTTAACTGACGCCTTATGATGATACGATGTATCAATTTTATTTTAAAAAAGGAAATTATGAAACCTAATTCAAATGTAGAAATCAAGATGTAGCTATGCTAGTATTTTTTCATACTTGAAATACAACGTTTCAGCGTTTTATTTTTTTTTGCCAAAAAGTTTATAAATATTTTATCCCCCAATTTATGACCTCTTAGAACTGTCAGTGTTCTTTCTAGAAAGAACACTGCCTTTCACCAGATACTAACTTGTGTAGGACTAATCTTTATTTTAAAAACTCCGAGTCCATTACGATAACCTCGGAACAATTTATAACTTAATGTATATTAATACATGCGAACAAAAACACCGAACAGTTATCTGCTTTGCGTCGTCGGGAAATAGACATGACACGCGCTCCGGCTGTCCAGTAGTAGACAAACTAAACATATCAGATGATTCGTGTATCTTAGTGCAATGCCAACGGTAATATTTTGTTTACCTAAACTTTTTATCTCCGATTCTGCGAAATGTTTTCCATCTGGTGCGAGAAGTACTTGTTACATTTCAGCAAAAACACCACTCAGCGAGATAAACTGCTTGTACAAGTTGGTGTTAGCAGAATTACCACATGCCAGAAACGCGGAATTTGCCAGTGCCTTGAAAAGAATTAAACATATATTTCTGGAAACGCAGTGCTGACGGTTATATATCAAGTTAAATGAAACGTAAGAATTTTTAAATTTGACTGAAATGGCCTATACGCCTACATTATTCGTAATATACCAAAGACTTAATATATTACTTTAAAATAAAACATAGTTCAGATTAATTCTGGGAATGTTTCGTTCGCTCAAAAAACGTTTTTAAGTTTCAGACCAGTAAGTAACAAATTTGTTTTGTTCTGGTATAACAGTCGATACCAGGCAGTATATATTGTGCCATCTACACAATAATTTGTATAATCAATCTGATGTTATGAACACTTAAGTTTTGTTCATTGTCAGGCCATTTTTATGACTCAGCTTTAAAACTGAAGACAAGTCACGCGCATGTTTATATTAAAACTATCAATTGATCCACTGAGGTTTATGTAACAGTATTATTATAATACTTATTGTCCATGCTTTGAAATTTAAAGTTATTACTTGTACACTCATCTGATTAAAATAATTTTAAAGTAAGTATTTTATAAGCCGAAAATATTTTAAGAAAAATTATGCATGAAGTTCGTTGTAATATTATTTTTGAATAAAACAAAATTATTAAATGCTGTCGGTTATTAAGCTTCAGCGCGTGAGGTATTCATTCGATATTGTGTTTTTTCTGATGTAATATTATAACTATTATTTTGTTTCTCGAGTCTCCTGTCATCTATATTTTGTTAGGCTGCGAACAGATGATGGATTTTCTTGTGGGTGGTGTTACAGAGACTAATCTACCTGGTAGTGACTGTTTTATTATATACGTGTGTTATAATCAGACGACGGGATGCTACAATAAAAGATTATTCTCGAATATTTACAATAAATTAGCACTGCAGATATCGACACGATTGGACGCTCTAATCGAGAAAGAGATGGAATGCATTTGTTGATAAATATCCAGATGTTATATTGTCATGAAAGAGGATAATGATAAGAAGGCTTGTTGATACGTACGTACCTGTGTCATGACCATTTCGAGCTCAGTAAACGGTTGATGGAATGACCGCCATGATGTCTTCAAGATGATCATGAAGAAACAGGTATGAAGAAAGTGTCTGTGTTGAATTTTCACGCTGTGCACTGAGAATAGATTTACTAGTTAGAATTGTAGCCTAGTTACTGAAGTCAAGAGAGAACTGTGACAAGAAACTTTTCTTTTCTCTGTGGAAAAGTCGAATGATTAAATTACGAGACGGGGGTCTTGTAAGTGACTTTCCTGTGTTTGTTCACTGGGGAATACAATCGTTATTATATGTGAAGTGAAAGCAACGCATAAGTTCGCTTTCCCAACCAAATATTTGTCTTCAGTAACACATCAAATGTGATCTGACTTCCTCATTTTTCAAGAGACAGTATAAGCTGTTCAGTTGCAATGAAGGATGTATTAACATTTCTGTCCGGGATGAGCCCCAGGTGGGGTATTAAACTGTGCGTGTGTGTGTTTTTGTGGGTTATGTTAATTGTGACATGCAGTGTGGCTGAAATGACGACGGAAGGGGGCAAAGTATGTCGCAGCATGGACATACGGAACAAAGTGCAAGCTCTGCAAAAGCTCAGCGGTTGTCGCGTTGTCGAAGGCTTCGTACGCGTTGTGTTGATAGACAGGGCCAACGAGACGGACTACGACAGGTTCAGCTTCCCAGACCTTCATGAGATCACGGACTACTTGCTCGTCTACAGAGTGACCGGACTGACGAGTCTGGGGAAGCTTTTCCCCAACCTCACCGTCATCCGAGGGAACTCCTTGTTCGTGGACTATGCTCTTGTCGTGTACGAGATGTTCCAGCTGAAGGTACGCAAACAGCAACTTACAGGTGGCTTGCTTTCAGTGGGAGAGAAATTGTTTCTGTATAAGAGTTTGTGATGAGAACTTCACGTGTGCCCTTTGTAGACATACGTGTAAACTTTGCTTTTAGATAAATGTTTAAATAATAGGATGCATAAAATAGGTCCCTCAGATACATTAAAAACTACACTGTTACTATAATCAAGTAATCACTTATCTCTCGTTAGTACAAACAATGCAGAAATAAGCTTATCATTGGCTTCAGTTCTGAATTGCTGATTAACGTCTGATAAATCGCGAATATGCAAGAAAGAAAGTCGAGAAACGTGCTGCCCGACGAACCGATATCGATGCATTTTCATGAGATAGGACACTCAGAATGTTTATTCTTAACCGTTAATTTAAGTAGCTTACTATGGAAACACTGTAATGTCTTTCAGCAATTGTCTTGATAAAAACGTTTCTCCCTTTAAAAATGGCTGAGAAACAATGCAGCAGGCTTACAGAAGTGAAGCATCAGCATCAGTAAATGAGAACGGAAAATACGGAATAAACAGACTTTAAAGTCGCAGCGAAGAGAACTCCTCTGCTGGTCAGTAAATTCTCCACCTTCTGTAAACCCCGAAGTTGTCCTTACCACGTTCACAAAAACCCCGCAATAGATCCAATCCTGTGTCGAATGAAATCACTCCACATCCTCACACCCTGTTTGTTTTAAGATTAACTTTAACATTATCTTACCATCGGCACCTAGATCTGCCAAGACGTGTCTTTCATTTAGATTTACCGAGTAAAATTTTGGATCAGTTTCTTATATCTGTCATACCTGCTACATGTTTCGCTCATCCAATCCTCCTTGATTTGATCACCCTAACATTATTTTATGAAGAGAAAATCTCATGAATCTCCTCATTATGTAACTACCCCAGTTATTCCTCTCTCTTAGATCCTGATATTTTCGCCAGTAGATTTGGTTATTCAATTTCTGTTTTTAAATTTAGTGCGAGACGAATTCCTGGTTATACGGTGTGAATTTGCAGTGTGCACTTCCCTTAGTGTGAAATACAAAGTGTCATTCCCATAAAAAATAACTAGGAAATGTATTGTTATGTAAGCTGAATATAAATCTTTTATGTTTTTTTTTAAATTAGAGACGTGTAGATAAAATATTCTGGACTGGATGGCCCCATTTAATTCAGAATCAGTAAGCCAATTACGAGGCAATCAATTTACGGGAAGTATGAAAACTTTAGATCTAGACAGTAATAGTTTGTATGCACACGGCTTTAAACAAAGAATGCTTAATTAGGCTCACAGATATCGGATGCGTAAATTACAAAACCGTCAAGCATTTGGAGTGTTTGATTTTGGAATCCCTTCTTGATATGGCGCCTATCCAAGAAGAAGCTTATTAGCTAATATTAACACAAACGTGTTTGTGCTCTGAATGTAATGATGTTAAGAAATTAAATACGAATAAACAAGCATGAGAATGTTGCAGAATCCTTCCTAGCTACTATCGTTGTAAAATTCATGGAGTTCTCTATTATCTCCACCAACTTTTCAGCGAAATAGTTTCCAATTTAATTATGTAGGATGATTGAGTGATCTATGTACAGAAACTTCTTATATAACATAAAAGTTTTCTTATGTAAATTAAACCAAAATAAGACAGTTTATCTCACATTTGTATAGTGCTCGTGTTGTATGGGACTAATCAGTCCAGACATTAGTTGTTCCATTACTCACTAGACGTCGTTGCCGAATTGCTAACCACCCGTTCGAAAGATTCCGGGTTCAAATCTTGTCCCAGAGATGGGGTATACGGATTTGAGGTTTTCCTCACTGACTCCACATCTGCATCTTTCCAACTGCATTCCAATTTATTATTAATTAATCATCTCTTGAGCTGACAGTGTGTAGTCTGAGCTACTAGAAGTCCCGTTAAATAAACCACACATTAAATGTTCTAATCCTCTCGCTCCAAACAATTTAAGACTTCTTTTGTATGTTTTAGAATAGAATGCATCACTGCATGTCTCTTAGTGACCACATTTATATATAGCCCATCTCCTTGTAATGCTCCATGGAATGTTTCTCAGTCACAGAAATTACTTTTACCTGCACATAGTCAATATTAAATATGTAGGAATTTGCAGTATATAACTGTAATCTTTTCAGACAGTGTTGTCAGTATCTAGTCTGGCTACTAGGAGACTATAACCAGTTTGTGGTATAAAAGCGTTTCCTGTTCCATTTCGTTGCTTGGCAACAGTTTATTTCGTAAGACCACCATTGTGTGGCGCTACGACAGTAAATAACAAGAAGACGGAGGCCTATATTTGTGAGACTGTCATAATAAAAAAGCAGTTACATTATTTCGGGTACTGTTTATTTTGAAAGAAACTTGTACTTTTGATAGAATAAGGAAATATATTTATTTTGTGATATACACACCACTCTCTGTTTTATACATCTTATACGATATTGGCCAACAAAGCAATTTATTTTACAGCTAGTAGCCCATAGACCCTACTTCGGAACGTTTAGTAACGAACAGTCTTTGTTGTGTTGCTTTTGTTTGAGCTGTACTTTAAACTTTACGAGTGTTATTATTTTTATATCCTTTAACCCATATTGTAAACCTAATCTCAGTGAACCCTGATGCCCAGTTATTGCTTTTAATCTTGTCTTCCTAAAGGTCGAGTTTAACTTCCAAAGAGCAGTACAGTTTTGTAAACTAAGTTACATAGGTGTGATTACTCCATATAATATGCTGTAATGTTCTTTTATTCGTAAAGTAAAGGCAAAGTCCGTTTCTTATTTACCACTCCATAATTACGTATGGAGAAGTGGCTATAAATCTGTATCCTTTCTTAAACTGAGCTCTGGGTGGGGGTGAGAGATCAGTTTTACGTTCGGCGATCGAGGTTCCAGGGAACCTACCCCAGGTGCTGTATCTGACTGCAGTGACGAAGAGACGTTTCTTGTTATTTTCCCTTGAAATCGTAATTAATGGCAGATGGAGTCAGTTTCAACTTCGATCCCCAAAGTTTCTCTCGGCGATCCGTCTTAATGGCATCCTCCAATTATCTTTCCGGTCTTTATAATGTCCCTTTACAAGAGGTTTTCTCACCAAAATTCTGTATGCATTCCTTGTCTCTCTTTTCGTAGTCGTAGTGATTTTACTAGATGACAAGTATGTGCACATCACAAACTTACACGTTATGTAATATCGTAAATTGTTCACTTATTTACCTGATACGTTGTGGGTCCAGTGTATTTTCCAGACCGCTGTGTTTTATGTCCTTCCTTCAAAGTAAGAAAAAACGTTACACACTTTTACGTAAGGAACGATAACCTTATTTTGTGTTTCCTTGTTTTTATCATTATGGAAAGTAGACGAGATGTAACAATTTTTAACTGAACTGTACATAACTAATATTTTTTTCACTTCGATTTTCTTCAAGTGTTTTACCCCAAAGTAACTATCGGCTGTTAGGAATTTCCTAATAACTGTGCTGTGCCTTGTTCCAGGAACTTGGTCTGAGGAGCCTAACTACGATCCTTCGTGGATCTGTCCGTGTCGAGAAGAACCGGGACCTCTGTTACGTTAATACTGTGGACTGGTTATCGATTCTTCGCAAAGGAGAACTCTTCTCAGCCAACAACAAGGAGAGGTCGTTATGCCCCTCCTGCCCAGGTAGTTGCGAGAACTCCGGCTGCTGGAGTGTAGGTGTTTGCCAGAACTTGAGGAACAACTACAGCAGTTGCCATGAGCTTTGTCTTGGGGGCTGTACGGGGCCGGGGGCAGATCAGTGCTCTGCTTGCATTGGGGTTATCGATGACCACGCAGTCTGCGTTGACAGTTGTCCGCCTGACAGGTAAGCGTCGGGGCTTAGACTCGCCACTCCATTGATTTGAAGTATATTGCCTAAACTACTTCCAGAACTCCTTATTTATATTCTAAATGTTATTCGGAATCATAATGCACGTCACGCAAACACGTGTCTGTGGAAACAAAAACTGATTGTCCGATTCCTTGTACCCTAATCTGGAGTCATATCCTTCTTCATTAATGCTGGTTATACGTAGACCCTGCATTGAATATTAATGATACTGGTAATAATAGAGTGTAGATCCATTCATTATCTGCTATCTCAGTAACAAATCTCCTCGCAGTAGATGAGATTAGTTGTTTATTACAGAGCAAGTATTGCAATGATCTACGCCAAGATGGACACACCTCGGCTGCAGTATGCTTGTAATCATTTGAATAAAAGGGGAAGTATACGTAAAACCTTAAAAGATGTGTGAAAATAAAATAGTAAGAAATTGAAATTAGATTCACGAAGACATTAAGAGCAGACTTGATTAGGAGAGAGTTTGCTACGGTATAGAATATTTTATCTTCCCGTCTGCTAATCATTTAAAACGAGGAGAGTAAATAAACAGAACTATATGTTATTTTACTGGTTCTTTTGTGTAAGTCTAAAACTTGGTCTCTCACTAAAAAAAAAAACATCGATGAATGATGTTTGAGAATAGAACGCCGAAGAGAATATTTGAACCTTAAGAGAGAGGAAGAAGTGGGAATGTGGAAATTACATAATGTGGGGTTTCGTGATTTATTCTCTTCGTAAAATAATATTTTGGTTAAAAACATCAAGGAGAATGGGGTGGGCGGAGTATGTAGATCTCATGGGAGCGTTGAGAAATGCATAATTTTAGTCATGTAACCTGAAGGTTAAACCCCACTTGAGAAATCTGGGCACGTATATTAAGACTTACCTTAAATCCGGTGTAAAGGTAGGGACTGAAATCATTTAGCTGTGCCTGAGGTTTCGTGGTGGGCTGTTGGGAAGAAAAAACACGGAAATGGATCTTCATATTGTATAAAATCCGGGGAATTTATTGACCATATGAGCAACAGTTCGCTTTCCAAGGAGTAAATTTTAGTTGTTCTGAAATACAGACGTCTGTGTCACACAGGTTCGCATTCGTGGGCAGACGCTGTGTAACTGAGGAGGAGTGTCGTAATTCCACCGTGCCGCCTCCGTATCTCCAAAAAGTTCCTCGTGATGGCCTCCCAAGCAAGGCGTGGATCCCCTTCAACGGCACTTGCAGCCTAATCTGTCCTCAGGGTTATCAGACGTACATCGACGATATTGGCAAGCAAGGCTGCGAAGCGTGCGTGGGACATTGTCGTAAAGTTTGTGGCAGTGGGGAACAGATTCATATTGTCAGCATCTACGATATTCAGAGTCTCGACGGTTGTACGTACATTAACGGTTCTTTGGAGATTCACGTAATGGGAAGCAAAGTACTTGAGGAGTTACAGAATAACTTTGATGCAATCGAGGAAATTAGCGGCTACTTGAAGATCTACCACTCATACCCACTAGTGACACTTAATTTCTTTAAAAGGCTCAGAGTTATTCATGGATTGAAACTTGAAAGTGATCAGTTTGCGCTAGTCATAGTGGGGAATGACAACCTTCAAGAGTTATGGAATTGGAATTCTCGTCCTCGAAATTTTTCTGTAGAGAAGGGCACACTCTCTTTGCACTCGAACCCTAAATTATGCATCTCAGAAATAGATAAACTCAGAGACATTGCGGGTCTTCACAACAACACCGGAGATGAAATTTCATACGTCTCCAATGGCAACAAAGTAACTTGCATCGTAATTAAAATGAACGCATCTTCGTTAGTTATCAATTCCACGTCCGTGACGATTTACTGGGATCCCTTCGACGTACCTAAAGAGCGTGGCACATTGCTGGGTTACACAATACACTACGTGGAGACGTCCGACAACAACGTCGCTCTTGAATCCGACAGTGACGCATGCGGAGTTGATAACTGGAGAGTAGCTTACGTTTTTCTTAACACCGTTCAATCAACAGCTGATGTCATAATGTCTCATAACATCACCCACCTCAAACCATTCACTCAGTATGCATACTACGTAGAAACTTACGTGACACCATCAGCTACAGAAGAAGGTAGAAGCTCTATTCAGTACTTCAGGACTGATCCTGACCGACCTTCCATTCCTAGATATATAAGAGCCTACTCTAATTCAAGTTCAGAAATAATTCTACGTTGGCAGCCTCCTCTATTTCCGAACGGAGAAATATCACATTATATTATTGTGTGCTGGCGTCATCTTGATGATGCACAATTGTTAGATCAAAGAGATTATTGCCAGGTACCTCTAGAATATCACAAAGAAGTTGAAGAAGATCGGTCATTTCTCGAAGAATTTGAACGAAAGGAGCATTGCTGCAAGCCATTATCTCGTGAAACTTGTGTATCCAACAACGACTCGAAGTTTAATTTCATCTACACTCAGGAATCGGTCAATGAAGAACAAGATTCCTGTGACGAACAGACTTCGATGTATGGTATTTTATACAGTCCTCGACTGTATGGAAATGGGGGAGGGATTTATGATTCTGTTGACCTTGCGGATGGTCATTTCATACAAAGATCAGAAGGGAGCGCCACGACAACAATCCTGAAAGGTCTTCATCATTTCTCCAAATATACTGTAAAAGTTGTAGCATGTAGGAAGGACCGTTATGGAGGTACTGATCTTTTGTGGAATGATGGACACTGTAGTCCAGCCAGCCTGATTACAACTCGAACCCGTAAGTTGGAAACTGCAGATAACATAGATTCGAGTTTCGTCAAAGTCGCCGTTGAATCAGGGACTGTGAGAGTGTTTTGGTTGGAGCCATCTGATCCGAATGGGGTCGTGGTAACTTATCACGTAGAGTACAGAAGGACAGACATTGTAAATATCAAACCAGTTGTCGTGTGTGTGACGAAGCAGCAGTTTGAGAAAGCAAAAAACTGGTTTGTTTTGAGCAACATGGCTCCGGGAAAATATGCTCTGCGTATTAAAGCCACATCTCTAGCAGGTGAAAGTAAATACACCAATTTTGCGAAGTTTGTAGTGAAACGAGAGATTGTGGTCCCGTCCCGCCGTTCCGAAATGTTTGTTCTGATGTCAATTATTATCACTTCATTGATTCTCCTCTTCTGCCTTTCCTATCTCCTGTGGAAAAGATTGAAGGCAAATAATTTTACAATTGTTACGTCCGCAAATCCGGAATACGTGAGTCTCGCAAGGTACGAGCCGGATGAATGGGAAATTGTAAGAGATAAAGTTGAGTTGGTGCGGGAACTTAATAAGGGTTCCTTCGGTATTGTTTATGAGGGAATTCTTTGGCCAGCAAACATTCGTTGTGCTGTTAAAACCGTGGATGAGAAAGCTACCGTTCGGGAGCGAATTGAATTCCTCACCGAGGCATCAGCGATGAAATCTTTCGCTGGTGGGCACCACGTAGTACGGCTGCTAGGAGTTGTTTCTAGAGGTCAACCTCCTCTTGTCGTAATGGAACTGATGGCTCTTGGAGATCTGAAGACATTTCTAAGAGAAGTCAGGAACATGACGCCTTCTCCAATTAATCTTTCTCATGTATTGTTAATGGCCGCACAAATTGCCGACGGAATGGCATACCTGGAAGCTAGCAAATTTGTACACAGAGATTTAGCAGCAAGGAACTGTATGTTGACAGAGAATGGTACAGTCAAAATCGGGGATTTTGGAATGGCACGAGATATTTATGAGACAGATTATTATCGAAAAGGAAACAAGGGTTTATTACCAGTCAGATGGATGGCCCCAGAAAGTCTAGCAGATGGAATATTTACAAATCAGTCTGATGTATGGAGTTATGGAGTTGTATTATGGGAAATATCAACTTTAGCCGAACAGCCATACCAAGGGCTTGCCAACGAACAAGTTCTGCAATTTGTCTTAAGAGGCGAGCTGTTGGATAAACCTGACTGTTGTCCAGATATTTTGTACAGTCTTATGCTAGCATGTTGGCAGAAGCGACCTGTAAATAGACCCAGTTTCTTGAGGCTTGTTAGTATAATAGATGCTGTCACTGAGGTGGGAGATGAGTTCAGACAAACATCATTTTACCACAGCCAAACAGGTCAGGAGCTGAGAGAAGCTCATGGTGAAACAAGAGCAAGGTCCTCTTCGTCTGAGGAAGATTCATTCGAAGATATGATTTGTTTGCAGTCATGTGGAGCATGTGAAAGACTAGACTTTCCTTTATTAAACAGTGAATTTAATTCTGATGTTCCTGAAGGAAGTACATCTTCAGGTCTGAATTTTAACATGGAAATATTATCTCATAATAGTCATTCCAGTACTGATGAACCTCATTATTTAAATATGTCCACACAAAGTACGCGGCCTGCTGCAGATGATTACGTTGTAGGGTAAGGAATTTATTCTGTATGACTTTAACATTTGTCACATACCAACGACATAAAATAATTGTATTACTATTTCCGGTGTGGAGCAGTTCATTCTTATTTCTTTCCAGTGATTTTGGCAGCTAATATATTGTGATTATTCCTGGGTGCCTCTTGACAATCAACAGTTCTGGATTTTCCATAAAAGGTAAACAATATGAAATATTTAAGAATGCAGCATTCAGAATTACTTAAAACAATGGCAAGTAGAAGGTATTGCACGACAGCCAGTTCAGAATGCTGGAAACCCTTTCTTTGGTAAGGAGACAAGTGCCATAAATAACACCAATAGTTCATTTCAGAATTGTATAATATTAATTCAGATTAATATTTACCAATAAACTTTTATTGCCATTATTTTTAGTATTGTATGTGTTAGAAAATCAATAAAAACTTGGTACTGCCTCCTTGCCATCAACTAAATATCTATGCTCATCTGAAGAATAGCAGTTCTGAGGTAGCTTGATGAACCCACAGAAATTATAATTTATAAAATAAAATAGTTTCCATTGTAATCTTTTGTGCATTCTTATTTTTCTAATTGGTAAAATTATATCGGGAGCCACATGTTCCGCCCACACTTAGTTTATAATTTGTTTAAACAATACTGAGAACGAGTTGGATATTCTGAACAGAAATAAGACACTTTTAAACCAGTTGACCCTAAAAGGCCTCATAACTTGAACTACTGACAGTGACGTTAAATAAGCTATAAATACATAAACAAACAAGTAACTTTTCAACTCATTCCTTATAGAAACATTCTACAGTCCTTTCCACTTGCGACAAAAGACGTTAGGCCTACTTCAGCAAAACATATCAATGTTAAAACAGCTTAAGCTTAATGGTGTAAAGAACTATCGTCCATTTTATTATATCGACTAACCAAACAGTTAAGTAAATGGTTCCTCCGTGTCATTGTATTGTAATTGGTTGTTATGTAAACTGGTTATAAATATATAACTGTTTTTGTTGTAAACAGAAAGACAAAAAGCTTCTGTACGGTCAGCCGGCATCAGCATATATTTTGGAAACAGCATGTTTCTTCAGGACTCGGAAGATTCGTATATCCTTATTTAAACTGTATCATCTCCTTTCAGTTTTGATTACTTCCATTCCGAAATAAGAGCTTTTTTGTCAGCTTGGTGTCTTAATTCTGTTTTTTTCTGGGCAAAATAGAATTGTGATAATTTGTAAATATACTACGAAAATGTTTATACGCTTATTTTCCTTTCTGGTTGCTTAGTCATTTTGTTTACTGTCATCTAAAATATACTCCTGTGTCGAACAAGTTTTTTATGCCTGTTTCTGTTCTTATCCAGATGTTTCTAGAACGAGTAGTAGATATGGAACTTGAAACTTGCATTATGGCGGCGCTGGGTATATTATTATGTTTGTGAGTAGCTTTTTATCAGCTTTCACGACGTACAGAAGCTGTAGACGTTTACTTAACGCTAACATTAGCAAGAGGCGAAAGTGTTCTTATTGTAAGAGATATTCCACCATCCTGAGAAGATGACATCAAACGAAAGCACCAAAATCACGTTCGGAATATTAACAGGTGAGATGACCAAAAGTTGTCTTTATAGACATAATCAGCAACCAGCCACTGATTTCTATTGGCGTATGTATTACTGCATGGATGGCAGCATATAGGCTCTTTGGACACTTAAAATCTCAGTATACTTACACAAAATTGGTAATTGTCAATTATGTTCCCAATTTTGCAGTTAGTGACAGTTGCTCCCAAGGAAAAGCAGAAGATAAGAGTGGTCCAAATCTTGCAGCTCTAATTACAAAAGGAATAATTCACAATGGAGAAGTTGTTCTCCAGGAATGTGTACCAGATGAAAAGGATCACATTAAGGTGATTAACAATTAAGTTTAATTTAATTTAATGCTAAGCAGGTATTCTTTCACCTGGAGTAACTGGTGTCTTCCACAATGTTTACTTTTAAGTCTGTCTTTAGAGTTTTTGAGTAGAGATGTAATCAGAAGCAAGTTAAAAGGTTATGTAATGAAAGAGGATAGTTATTGATATGTCCCATTTGACCAAGGGTTGTTGATTTCATTGGAGGGTGCTTGTGAATGTGTACATTGTAGAAAAGATCTGGGGAGAGTGTTGAAAAGGCAGGGCAGAGGTCGCAGGTACAGCGTAACCTCTGTATAGCATATGTCACCCCAGTCAAGAAGGCAGTTTCTGAAGTTTGCGAGTGGCACGCATTGGTCAGGCAGGATTCATTGACTGAATCTTCTTACTTGTAGTTCTGATGTTCAAGTGTTCAGTGCCATAAACTTAATTGGTTTTTCAATTTCAGAGGGTCCTGGAGAAATGGACTGATAATGAAAACGTTGATGTCATTCTTACCACAGGAGGAACTGGCTTCAGTTTTCGTGATGTAACTCCTGAAGCTACTAGAGAAGTCATACACAGAGAAACATCTGGAATGACAATTGCAATGTTTAAAAAGAGTCTTGACATAACGCCATTAGCAATGTTGTCAAGGTAAGAAGAGTTTGCAAGTAAGAATGTCTTAATTTGTTTAGATTTACATGCAACAGTTTTAACATTGTTTTAACTATTTGTAGGAAATATTAGCAAGTTTAAAATGGGTTTTTAGTATTTTCTTCTGTATTGCAGGCCATTATTTTATAATTAGTGTTTGTGGACATTGTCTATCTTTGATTAAGGTTAACATTTTCTAGTGAACCCAATTGTATAGGTAATCCCCATTTTTTCACCTGAGAATGGAAACAGATCCAGTTTCAGAAATGGTGGTACTGACTGTAATATATCATCATCAAAACTCTTTAAGAGTTTATAAGTTCATTACTTTTATAAACATTAAGGTAAAGTAAATCTGTTCCACTATATGCCATATATGCACTTGGGGGGGAGAGGAGGTATAGCTCCTACTCATTCTTAACCTTGGCATTAAATGGGAGTGAGTGGTCAGCATCACACACTAGCTGTGCTTTACCCCTGGGAAAGGATCCCAGTACCCACTAAATAGGAGGCTGGGTGGGCCCCAGACATGATCTAGATATAGAGGCTAGAGGAGGAATCCTCTGCCCCCATCGGGGATCAAACCCCAGTCCAGTCTGTAGTCAGTCACTTTATTTACTGAGCTACTCTGGTTCTCTTTTACAGTGTTACATTTTGAAATAAAACAAAGCAAAGAAATCTGTATTTAATGCTATTTAATCTGCCTGAAAATTACAAATCTAATTCATATTCCACTTAACATATTATCATGTGTTTTGATAGTCGTGTGTTGTATCAGTTAGTAATATGAAATGATTATTTGTAACTTAAGACAATGCAACGTCTTATCATTATTTTTCATTCTTTTTATCAGGGCAATCTCAGGTATTCGTTACAACACCTTGATTATCAATTTGCCTGGCAGCACTAAAGGCTCTCAGGAGTGTCTCGAGAGTGTGGCTGTTTCTTTACCTCACGCTGCTGCTCTTTTGAGTGACAGAATTGTTCAAGTAAAGTCTACCCACCAGTTGTTACAGTCCAATATGGGAAACTGTCCTGGTCATAAAAGACAGCATACTCATCATGATGAACATCATCATCATCATCATCATGAGAATACTAAGGTAAGATAGACTAATTATTATTAATGAGGGACTGAAATGTTAACCAGTTTTTGTTATGAAAAAACAGGCAATTGACCCAGGTATGTGGTACTCTGAGATCCACAGACTTACTTATTCTGTTTGAAATAGTGAAGAAATTAAAAAGTTGTTCTGTGCACTAATTCATGAAAACGGTGATGAAACTAACTAATGAGATATTTTACTCTTATCAACTTATACAGCATTTTATTATTCAAATTTTTCTGCTTTGAACAAAACTATGAAATTATCTTATAATTAAAGATATTTATGTTATGAAAAATTAGACTTTTGACATATTTGCTGAGTGATTATTTCTCTGGTTAAAATTATCTGAAACACAAAATCTGTTGCATGGATTTATTTTGTGTTTCTTGACTATGGCTCATACTGTACATATGGATTCAGGTCCAGGTTTCTATAATTTGCTGGTTACATTTAAACTGAAAATATATTTTTTGAACAGCTACTGTTCCAAGTCATTATACACAGTTCTTATAATGCCGTGATTTGCAGGTGGATCCAACTCGAGTAGCTCGAAGGGCAAGGGAATCTCCTTATCCTCTTATAGATGTTGCCACTGCTCAGAAGATTGTCTTGGAGCATGCCGAAATACTGGGTACAGAAATGTTGACCTACGTCGAGGCTCTGGACCGAGTACTGGCCGAAGACGTGTTTGCTAAAGATCCTCTTCCTCCATTCCCTGCATCCATTAAGGATGGATATGCTGTACTGGCAAGTGATGGAGCTGGAAAGCGACAAGTTTTGGGCACCTCTGTCGCAGGAGTGAAGGTATTAAGGTTGCCCCCATCGCAGTGAAGTGACTAGCTCTCCTGCTTTGTATTTGGGAGTTTCTGGGTTCAAATCTCATGGCACGTTTGATGTAGTTTTAATTGTAGGAGGTTGATTTAAATAAGCCTGGAAATAAAAGGTGTCTTATTGTCAGAAGTTATGCCATAATAGTGTGCCTTTATCTTTTACTTCGTTACATCGAACAGTTTTATTTTTCTCTGTTGTTATGTCAGCCTGAGGATCAAGTTGGATTGCAACCAGGAGAGTGCCTGAGGATCAACACAGGAGCACCTGTACCTGCTGGCGCGGATTGTGTCGTGCAGGTAGAGGATACGAAATTGATCCAGGAAGCAGACGATGGCAAGACTGAAGTGGAGATAGAGATTCTCCTTCCTCCAAAAGTGGGCCAAGACATTAGGTACATGTATATTGTTGAATATATGAGTGTAATTGAAGTGGAAACACTTGCTTTACGTTACCAATAACAGAATTATTTCTTAATGTAGTCGACTTCTTTGTCATTACACGTTTTGCAGCGTTATACCAGTGTCATCCTGAGTTTTTTGGTTGGTCATGCAACCATTTTTGCACCTCTTGTCAATATTAAAGTAACATCTGAGAGCATGGCACAGTAAAACAGTTGTTTTAATATGAATGTTCATGGTAACAGTCTCTGAACTCGATGTGATTGATTCAGTGTTCATCAGAGGTGCCTGGAAATGTCCCTGTTGCTCCTTCATTCAGAACCTTCTTCGATGCATACCCCACTTTTCTACTTACCATTATCAATATCGATATTTAAATTAATTTCTGTCAGTTCTTTTCTTTGATAATACTAATAATGCACCTGTAGTTATCTCTTTTGCCACTTGGTTTATTGTAATGTAATCAGTTACTCCTTTACCCTGAACTCTGAACTTCACTAGACTCACAGTATAGATTATTCTAATCTAATGGATGATGCTTGTATAAATAAAGGAACTTGCAAATCTTCAAATGAGAAAATGTAGGATGAATTATGTTAAAAATGGAATAAATGATGTTGTAATTTAGATCTTGAGAGTGATGAAGAAATTCATATAAATAGTGTATTATTGGTTAGAACTTCTTAGTTAATAGATTCATAAAGCATTACATTTATTATATTTTTATAATAAGTAATGAATACACAGTTTTCAAATCAAGTTTTTCTTCTCTCTAAATAGACCTATTGGCAGTGACATGTCCCAAGGACAGCTCGTGTTACCTCGGGGATGCGTTGTTAGTTCATCAGATTTGGGCCTGTTGGCCACGGCAGGGGTCACATCTGTTCTTGTGTACAAGTAAGAAAATTATCAACAATATACAAATATATATTAGTCTGATCAGATTATAGTTGGGATGATGAAGTGGAAGTGGAACAAAGACTGCATAATCAGTACAATTAAGTATTGGTGATGCTAGCCATAACAAGTTTGGAAATGTACGCATTGTTTAACAAATCTGTCATGTTTGCTGGAATTTGACTTTAGTAAATAGTGCCAGTGATATCAGAATTGTCTAGGGTCAGTGATCTGTGATTGGGGCAAGGTGTACAAATCCTTTCTGGCCGGACAATGGAGTCATCATGATGGATTACCCACATTGGTAGGAATTTCCTACCCAGTCACTTCCATTCATACAAATGCATGCACATCTTCATGTAAATTGCCCTTTATTGATATGTGATTTTAACCAAACTTGGACTGTTGACAAATTATAGTAAAACCTCCCCTGTATAACATTTTATGAAAATCCATTCAAGCATTCATGACTTCTTACATCCGAAGATACAGATAGCAAAATTAATAGGCTAATAGGAATTTTTCAACTTTTAGTTGTGAACTCATCTAAAAATGTCAGTAGAGAATTAGAACAATCCTTGAGTACGATGATTCACATATGAGATGCACATGATAATGTAATATAAATATATCGTAATGAAGCTAATTTACAAGGAATCCATTTTGTGTTATACTATACTAACTTCCAGTGTTTGTTTTTTAGATTCCCAGTTGTGTCCATACTTTCAACTGGAAACGAGATCCAAGAGCCTGGCAGACCATTAGAAACTGGTTGTATTCGTGACAGCAATAAAATAACTCTTCTGTCACTAGTGAAGGAACATGGTTTTTCAGCATTGGATTTAGGAATAGCTAGAGATGAGTAAGTAAGAGTTTTGGGGTTTGCTTATATTACCTCGGATAATGAGCCATCTACTGTATTTGTGCATCATTTTGTCACAGGTTGAGAAATTTTATGACAAGGTTAAAGTGAGATAAGAAGATTGCTATCTTCTGGGTTGTTGCGCCATGTAGTCTGGTGGATTTCCACCAACGTTTCAGAGGTCGCACTGCATCCGTCATCAGGGCGATGAATGTGAAATCTGCAATGTGAAATCTATCAGATTACACGGCACAACAACCCAGAAGACAGCAATCTTAAGACTCAGCGCTGCGAAAACCTCAAATCCTGTAAAGTGAGATAGTTGTCTTTTAGTTCTCTGTTTATTTTCCATATAAGGGATGAACAACTGATTTTGCTATCCAAATGCACAGGACAATCATGGTATTGTCTAAACAATTCTTGATTATGATGTTTTATTTATTAGTCCACAGTCTGTTCTAATGAAGCTGAAAGAAGCATTAGCTTGCAGCGACATGGTTGTGACTACTGGTGGTGTTTCTATGGGAGAGAAGGATTTACTGAAAGAAGTTCTTGTGGCAGATCTTGGTGCTGTTATCCACTTTGGACGTGTTAAAATGAAGCCAGGGTACGTTTCTTGCTGATCATTTCCCTCTATATTCACCAAGTCATTACAATATAATGGAGGAGATGACACTACCATACGTTAGAAGCATAGTTTTCAAAGTTTTGAATTTGGTTTGTTGTTTATGTGCTGACAGTCCCATATAACCAGTGCAGCTGGGTTGATTTTAAACCCGTTAACTATTGACCCTTATCCTGCTAATAAAATTGCATCTTTGTGCACAGCTCTGATTTTCTTTTCTAAAATGTGAGCAGTGTTTCTCTGTTTTTATTCATGAACCAATATCAATACATCACTCAACATGGCAGTTTTTCTCAAAGAATAGTTCAAAAATATTGAATTGAACTTCACTAATCTTAGACATAGATTTGTTCCCACTAATACTGTATTGTTGACCATGTCTTCTGGGTCATGGGTGGTTGGTTAACATTTCAGAGGAACTGCTGAGTGAAGATCAGGGTGATACATTTCTCCAAAATGTTGGTAACGACCCGGAAGACCATGATTGGGAACCTCAAATTTCATAATACTGTTTTGACCAATTATTCCAAAGAAATAAATTAATATCTTTAGGATCTGTTTTATTTTTGTCAAGATGTGTAACACAGTTCATCTTGTATCATTGTCCTGAGTATGTGTTATTCACATAAGAGCGTCAGCTCCTATATTATATTTCATGTGAAATCAGTCATGTAAGGTGGGTGTAGAGACTCGTTTTATAGTTGGATTAGTTCGGGGAGGACTATGCAGACCACAGAATACAATGGTTTGCGATAGAAACACTGTGCAACTTCATGCTATCATCCTGCCATCTACCTGTTGTTTGCTTGATTCTATATATGTAGACAGTACTATGTTATTTGTAAACAAAATGCACCTTTTTGGGCTACCCTGAAGTGTGCATTTGCTGATTCTTCTTCTTATTGCATTAAATCCTGACTTCAACATTGATATTTTGATTTGCTGAGAGTAAGCTGAAGAGATTTTAAATTGGTTTAGCAGTGTAATTACAATTGTCTTATATTAAGTACAGTTTCTTTTTCTAGCAAACCAACAACATTTGCAACTTGCATATTTGAAGGAAAGAAGAAGCTTGTGTTAGGTCTACCTGGAAATCCAGTATCAGCAACTGTAACTAGTCATTTATATTTGCTACCAGCAATGAGGAAAATGTCTGGTTATGCTTCACCATTTGGAACAGTGATTAAGGCAACTGTAAGTATATTTAAACGTTTCAACAAGAAACTAATGGCTTTCAGTTACAAGCAAAAATGTCAGATGGTAATTGGTGTCTAGTCTCTTGTATTCCATGAAATTATGTGTGTCTCCCATCCTTTTATTGCTGCCAGCATCACTTTTGAGGTGAACTAAAATTGCCTTTAAACTTTTTTCTTTTTCTTGCACTAAAGATTGTAAATATTAACTCTTTCTGTTCAGAGAAGTTACTGTTTTATTCTTTGTAGACTGATGAAGATATAGTCCTGGACCCAAGACCAGAATACCACAGAGCAGTGTTGACTTGGCTGCCTGACAGTCCAGTTCCCAAAGCAGTGAGCACAGGTATGTTTGTGACGGACACATATATGTCCATCTACTTGTTCTGTTGTCGTATCTGGATGATTTAGTTACGTGTAAATGTATTTTTGTTCAGTAACTTGTCTTCTGTATAATGTGTTTCGTAGTGACTTAGTGGATTGAAATATATTAGTGTTAAAATGGTCAATGATACAGAATTAAAATGCTTTTTATCTGCTTTCAGGAAATCAGATAAGTAGTCGACTGTTGAGCCTTTTATCTGCCAATTGTCTTATGATACTTCCTGGTCGAACTGAAAAGTTACAAGTATTGCCTGCAAGGACACAAGTGGATGCTTTGATTATAGCACGTTTGTGATGGACGTAAAGGAAAACAATAAAAGGCTGATGGATACATGTATAATAAAAGTACACAGAGAAAAACATTGAGTGATCTCCAGAATGTCACAAAATGAAGCATACAAAAAATGATAAGAAGGTAAGGAAAAGTAAATATAAAATTTGAGAGGTAATAGGATTAAAGGAAACAAAAGTAAAAGGCTGATAAATTCATGAAAACTGTGTAGAAGATGGAGCATTCTGTGGAATGCTAGAAAAAGTGTACTTACAAGGATGAATACTTGAGTGTTATGTAAAATTTGTAGGTTTGTGTATGGCAGTATGTTGAGAGGTCACTACATGACCATTCATCAGAAAAAGAATAATGGAATTGTATTGTACTTAATATTATAATATGTAATTATATTTGTTTAATATTTAATATATTATTTTATAGTGTACTGTATTCTGTTTAATATTTATTTGTAAATAAATTGTTGTATGTGTGTGTATCAATATACATACCTTCCTGGACAGACATCTGATAGCCATAGAGAAATGAACAGAGGATTTAAATTGGCTTGTCAACTTCCAAAGATGAAAAATTAATGTTCCAGGCACTCTACAGTTACAAAATTTGCCATGTTTGCAACAGCATTCATAGAATGAAAAACAAGATTTTAAGAGTATCCAGTGTACACTTACAGGTGCATTTGGGAGGACTTATAAATGTCACATGTAATCAAAACTAAAGTGACACGAAAGAACTTTTACATTTGAATTGTTCCGTGTAAATAAAAAAACTTGACTGAATAGTTATGTTATAGTAAATAAATACTGAAAATTCATATACAGCTCTTTTCTGTTGATAAGTAATCAGAATGGCAAGGGCTTCAGTGTTCGTTATTACATACAAAAGAGAGAAATGCATATTTTTAATATACTATTTGCAGGTAGTTGTTACCTGTCTTTTCAGGCCAAAGGGTGAAACCCTTGTGACCTGACTGCAACTGCTTATTCAGTTTATTTTGTTGGTAAGCTCCATATCTGGAGTTTGCCTTGATTCATGACAATATGTAAAGGGCCAAACTTTGTACATAAAAAAAATACGTAGATTGCCATCTCGGGCATTCCACTCACAAGCAACAAAGAAATTCTCATGTAAAATTATTTTTACCATAGACAGAATCGGTGGTTGAATGCTATATTCAATTGAAATATGATAAATGTTTTCAGTGTGGGGAGTAATGTCTGACCATGATATCCAGGTTAGCCAATACTAACATAATCTTACTTGTTAGGCGTGTGGCATTAAGAATATTTTAGACTGCATAAAATTTCGTGTACTCTGTTTAGTAAATATTTATGCTAAATCCTTAAATTATAATGTCACGTACATACGTATTTCTGATGACAAGTGGTAATATTTGGTATTATGTATTGGCTATGCTGAAATTTTTTTAAATTGCGAAATGTGAATGTGATTAGTGGCATGTGTCAGATGGTGGAAATGGTACTTTACGTAACTTAAATTGTATGTGCGTAATAAATTCAGTGTTGATATTAAGAAATAGAAGCCTTTCTTTTAAATACTTTATTTCTTTCAAGTTTGTTGGGTTAATACAATTTAATATATCACATACATTCTAACCTTGTATGGAGGTTAGGTAAATTTATTATTATTTTGAGTAACAAAAAGATAGCTTGAAGTGGGAATATTATCAGTTGTAAGAAAATTATGAACTTTGACGCCAGTGGAGGATCCAGAACACAGAACATAGGTATGTGACAAGAATTCATTATCTGGTAGATTGATCTTGCAGTAAGTTCATGTATTTAGTTCCTGCCTTTTACATGTTTTATGGTAGCTGTGAAGGTTTTATTTGTGCAATAATTCTGTTCTTCATAACTGCAATGCTATGATTCAAATAATTAAATCTGCTCTGTGGCAGAAGTTGATAGTTTTGTTTTGGTGATTTAGAGAGCAAAGCCTCTTCAAGTATTCTCAGTGCTTGTGGAGGTAAAACTGACGGATTATAGTTCAGATATTTGTTTGCTGGCTGTTGAATCTCCAAAGTAGTATGACCCTCTGGTTTTTCAGGCTCACTGAAATGAAAATTAAGCCACTATTAATTTCTATGTAGAAAAGTTCCTCTCATACAATTTTATATAATTTCACATAAAGAAATTTAATCATTATAAAACAACAAATAACATTTCTTATGAATGCCATGGCTTAAGTTTGACATGTTTTGTATTTTATTTTATCTTGAACTAGATAGTAAAATGTGGTTTCTGTAGAGCATATATTATATGCAATGTAATTTTGGTCTACAGTAATATAACTAAAGAGTAACATATTTTGCTTTCAGTTACTATTGTAGACTGAATAACGGTACACTTCTCAGTCTGGCACATGTTCGTACACATTTATTAAAATTCTAGCATACATAATGTACTTGTTTTATCAGTTTAAGTAGAGTTTATTAAAGGTATCATATCTTATACAATAAAATGTATTTTTGTTGTTTGTTTTACTGTAGTGGTAATCAAACTTGTTAAGAGTACGATTGCCACATATTGGGTGTTATGAAGTATTTGTACAAGTAAGATAGTCTTTTTCTACAGTACCAATTTTTAGCCCCAATTTATAATGTATTGTGCCATGACTCACAGCAGAGAGAGAAATTCAGTGTCCATACCAAAATGAAGGCAGTTCTAATGATCATTATGGTTAAGATATTATATCCTAAACTGCTCAATTACATCCTCCTTTGTAGGTTCAAACATGTTTAGTGTACAAACAGTACCCATCGTATTGTTATTTTGTTCATCATTTTCAGACAAAAGTCGTGGTATGAAGGAAATAAATATTCGTCAGTATCGTCTGTGGGCTTCGGTCTTGCTCGGACAGTTTTATTTTATCTTTCTCATAATATTTATGCATTGCACATGCAAAATTTTATTCATTTATTTTTTGGTCTCTCATTCTAAGCGAAATACAAACAGTACCCATCGTATTGTTATTTTGTTCATCATTTTCAGACAAAAGTCGTGGTATGAAGGAAATAAATATTCGTCAGTATCGTCTGTGGGCTTCGGTCTTGCTCGGACAGTTTTATTTGATCTTTCTCATAATATTTATGCATTGCACATACAAAATTTTATTCATTTATTTTTTGGTCTCTCATTCTAAGCGAAGGACATAGATTGAGAATGCTCCGTGGAGTTAGTTACTTATAACATGTGCATTACTTACTAAAGTCTTGGTGCTGCAAATACTTTCTCTGTTGCTACGCCATTCGGCTGTAGGGTAATAACATGAATTCCGTGTGGTGCCATCTCATGACATAAAGCCATACTTGCTCCTTCCACTGCATACCGTGCTGCTGTGTAGGCAACCAATCCACTTCCTGGACTGTTGGAGCGATTAATGTTTGCTCCCATGTTGATTAGCCGCCCTGTGAACAGACGCATTCTCAGATGTTCTGAAATGTATTCAAGTTGTGACAAAAAGTGATGGAAGGCACAGTTGCCGTCCTGTGTCAAATGGAATTCAGCGTGGTAAATCACGCTTTAGGATCACAGTGGTATATGTTGCAGTTAATCGGAGATTTTAAAATATCTCTGATATGCGTATTTGATTGCGTGTATTCGGAAGTGACATCGGAGATGAATTTATTTGTTGGTAGTCTAATGGTACCTGCACGTTGTGGTGGTGGGGCTTGAGTACCTCAGTGATCCCAAGAGCTATGCTGGCGGTAGCATAGCTACTGGTAGGGCGTCCCTAGTCCAGTGTACTTTACATGAAATTCAGTTTTAAATTTAACAGTTGCCTCAAAATATGTTCTTAATTAAAATAATTGTATAAATTATCTGTAACATAGAATGCAGATCTCTGATCCGCAAATTTTATCGTCTTACATAAACCATAGAAGTTATGACTGTGAAGAAAAGTATCTGTGTTGATGATTAGCTCTGTCAATGGTATGTTTGGCTTTAACTGCATTAATTTATTCCATGTAGCAGGGTCCTTGAGACAATGATGGTCATTCAGCTGGTCAAGAAATTATCGATTTCTAAAGAGCTCACCCCTGAACCTTATATACATATTCTTTGCCTTGGCAGTATTTAATGCTTCTGAATATTACACTTCACAATGCGGAATCTGTTTCTGTTATTTGTTTGGGAATGAACGAACCTCAGTATCGAATCAATACATGTGGCGTTTAAGTTATTCGTAGCTGGAATTTACGACTATTTAATTTGTTGTGTATGATCGCAATTGTAATTATGCAATCCACCGCGCTGTACTCAGATTGTGGCGGGGGTTTTATTTGTAATATTCTGAGACGGATAAACCATCTTTTGTTTAGATTATGATATTGTGTGCGTATGTTTATGGTATTTTTGTGTATGGTAATACTACCACTACTGACCTTGTGGTCAGAACAATTAATTAACTCGTCTAAGGTACTGATTTAATTCTTTTCACATGTGTACAGTTTAGAGTCTCAAATTAATTCATTACAAGGTAGAATACATAAATGTTACCGGTTCCAAATGCTCAATGTTCAAGTCGTCTTTCTATACTCGTCACTGTTAATTTAGGATTTCTAATTCGTTCAGGAATTTAAGTTGCTTAACTCACTTGTAATTATGTCCTGTTGGTCTTCGACTGCCGACTTAACGCGCATAGCCATAATCTTATCGTGTATCATTACTGGACGAGACTGCTATGGATGCAGCCCGTCTGCAGTTAACAGTCGATGGACCAATGAATCCTCTCTCGTTCATTCACGAAAAACGTGAAGTATGACATAATCACTAGCCAGTAGTTAACGTATATTTCAAATAATGACTGAACAGCCAATCACAATTAGGTTAAACGAATTCCTTTATAAAAACAAAGAATGCTTGAAACATCAGGGGGAAATTGTTGGGTTTTTTGGTTAATAACGGTAGAAAACGTTGGCTGTTATATCATCTTGAAATATGTAATACCGCACTATTTGTACGAGCGCTTAATTTGGAAACGAATTGAATTAAAACTATGAACTGTTCCAGCTAGTGAATATTGTAGTTGAAGACATCATCTGTTGAGTGTCAGAATTGGGGTCACGGGATCAATGACCTACTCACCACACCTTTCGAACCATGTTGAGTCACAGCAGTTGGCCCATTCTTAACTTACGTACGCAGTGCACAAATTACTTCTAGACTTACCCCTCTTGTTCTTGAGAAGAGGTATGAACGTTCGTGCAGTCCTCAGTGCCCCTATTACATTGTACTTCAGCATCGCGTCCCAGTGGCAATTTTCTTGGTTCTCGAGGCGTCCTTTGCAACATAGGCCCGCTGTGTTCAGTACGGCCCATAAACCTGATATGGTGTAAAAGTTATTTTATTACATGATATAAATAACAACAATTATAGTTTTCTTATTATTTACTAAATTTACCGGCAGTTGGAGAGTCGGAAGGGTAGAGACCACTTGGAAGAACCAGGCATTTACGTATAGGCAATCATAGTAAAAGGGATTCACTGTGATTTGAAACTAAAGCCTGTTATTTAATGGGCCTCTGAGACCAGTAAGAAGCTAACGGTATCCGTTTTTAGTTGTCTCTGTTCTGAATGTAGAGTACTGTCAAATTTTGGGTCTGTCGCTTATAGGTAACCGATTACTCCGTGGTCTAACTTCGCTGTAAAAGATTTCAGTTTCAGAATAGTGGTAAATATGACCTCTACGTTTCGTGCAGTTTACGTGTTGCACTTCTTGGTTGTAAGACTCGGTTCTTGTTGAAGGAGGGATGGATAAACATGGTTTAAATGCCATACAGTGGCGCAGACTTTGCTTCGAGGGTCTGATCACGTTCTCTGTGCAACCATAAAACCCACACTGCAAGGAAAATCGACAAAGCCATACAAGTGCTTTTATATGGATCTGAATGTGAGATGTTGGTGAAGGCAACTGTCAGTATAAGAATGAAACATTGCCTGAAAACCGAATCCGGAAGCTGCTCATTGTAAGCCGAAGATGGAAGGAGCGGTTACAATTCTTGTAACTGGAATGGGCCGAGTGAATCTGTGACGTTTATGATGATGGTAACAACGTATTAAGCGACAGATTCCGATTAAAACCTACCGGACGTGCTAACAGCGCGTATGTGTTTTATTAATCTGCTACGTCTCAAATAGTTTCATTGTCCATGTTTAAAGAAAAAAATGTGGTTATTGGAAGCGAAAAAGCTCTTAATAGTTGCTCGTGTATTGTTGATGGGTACAAGGGTGAATAGTAAGATGCTAGTTTTGTCTTTCTGTAATCACCTTGAATTTATACAGCAGGGAATGCACACAATAGCACAATATGTAATTCAGCGATTATTTCAGAGCACTGCATATCATTGTCGTGTACCTGAACTGCAGAGCAGTCTACACGCGGGAAGTGTAGAACTAAATGCATCTACTTTCTGTCTCCACAAATAATATATTACTACGAATAATTAATTATCTTGCTTGTGCTATAGTGTATCTAATTACGTAGATGCAGAACATCACTTATTTCTGAACCCAGTTTATTTATCGTATGTAACGTAATTACTTTCATAGTCTGCCGTAGCTAAAGTGACCAATAAGAAAGAAGGCGGATGGTGCAGACTGAGAGAGAGAGAGAGAGAGTCCTACAAATGGCGCCAGATACACGCTAGATGTAAATTAATACTTTATACACCAACTCTCTGAAGCTGATTGGAACACGAGGTCCTGACAGTTACGCAGAAGAGTTCAAATCTCATTCGCTGTCGTTTGTGTCAGCCACTTCAATTGTAACGGAGCAGGATAGTATTCCTGGTAACATCGTTGTGTATTTGGCTTAAGAACGGGAGATGGATGATTATTACAACTATTTTTATTTTATCCACAAAACATTTCTCCCGTGACGCATCGTCCTGATGATGGAGGCAGCAAGGACCTCTGAAACGTCGGAAAACTTCTACCAGAATACACACAACAACCCACAAGACAGCCATCTTCTTCTATTCAGATTTTTCGAACAAAATTGTGTATGCAGGCCTGTTCCCCATGTGTGTATCCATTCACACAGCATTTTCTTAAATGAAATATTTCGATATTTCGGCCAGTGTTCATATGACAGTAAAAACCAAGCCGTTGTGTTAGATGAAAGACATTATTTCTGCATGTAATAGTTCCTCCAGGATGCCGCTATAGCCATGGTGGTCTAGCGGTTAGAACGCTGGCCTTGTAATCCTGGGGTCTCGGGTTCGATTCCCGGCGGTGCCCGAATTTATAACTTGTGTTGGGCAAGGCCGTGGTCTAGGCAACACGGATTTTTCCTCCGGGGGCTTCCCCGGTTTCTCCGTGGCATCCCAACAATTACTCCATTCACACACAGAAGAAGGCAATGGCAAACCACTTCTGGATCATCTGCCAAGAACGTATATGAACAGGTCCCAGTCCGAGAAAAGGATGGAAGGATCCTGTTCATATGGACCTGTCGTCAGACAGAACACTAAATAAATAAATAGGATGCCGCTCTGTGTACAAATAATGTTTAATATTCAATATATCCACTTATATTCTTCTCGAATGGTGTCTTGTTTACATGGTACAGTACGCAGTTGGCAAATTTACAGTTGCTCAAAACTTTCTCATCCTTGATCAAGATGCCCTAGCACCTGCAGCAGGTATCACATCGAACATCTAATGTCAGAGGTCAGGGCCGTTGGCGTAATGAATTCTGTCTGTGTGGACTGACAGGACTGTTGCTGGCAGAAAGAAGATGCTTCAAGGTAGAGTGTGACGCGTTTGAAACACTCGTGTGTTTTGTGTTGGGAGATAATGTAGGGGACAGTCGAGGTCTGTCATGGATGTAAATGTGTAGGCGTGCTGTATAATGGTTGTGTTGTTCTTGTCGATCGGGAATAGCACATTAACGTTTCTAATTGATTGTAGCTTCAAATTCAGGCGTTTTTTTCTAAACTCTTAACGTGAAATGAGTAGGATAATGTTCTGTGTTAATCTAGGGGGCGAGGCAAGCGATAATCTATGACATACGGAAATCTTAGAAATTATATCCACTTTAATTCATTGTTATTATACATGGCTGGGGTACTAATTGTTATGTGACGGCGTTAACTCACGTTTAAGTAGAGTTTACGCCTTGAAATTGTTCCATCTAAGAATTAACAAGACAACGGAGAAAATTACGCATCGCGGTATACAGAACGTCCGTAAAAGATGAATGCACAACAGCAACTTTGGTGGCCTGTCGGCCAGTTGATCACCGCTGTCAACTGTGCCACGAAGCTAACGATGGCCATTTTTAACACCTACACAAAATTATCTAATTCACTAAGTGGCAGTGCTGACGTATGTAATGGTTTAGTTTATTAAAATGAATTTTTTCATTCACTGAACGTGTGTATACTTATTTTTGGGACATTCTATGTGTGAAGTTAGATCCATGGGTGCTCTGTACTCATACGTCTATAAATTACTCATTATGGCGATTTAAGAATTGATCTGTTACATGATTTTTATTAATTAAAACCACGGCGTTTCGGAAATTGGTTTTATTTCCATCTTCAGGTGGTTGATGAGGCCT